AAACTCTGCCTCCCGGGTTCACGCCATTCTCCTGCCTCAGCCTCCCGAGTAGCTGGGACTTCAGGCAGTCCCCACCACACCCGGCTTATTTTTTGTATTTTTAGTAGAGACAGGATTTCACTGTGTTAGCCAGGATAGTCTTAATCTCCTGGCCTTGTGATCCGCCCGCCTCGGCCTCCCGAAGTGCTGGGATTACAGGCGTGAGCCAATGTGCCTGGCCCCAGAAAGATTTTTAAGCCAAAATGGACAAGATGTGTTGGAAGTGTCTGTAGATCATTGTTATAAGGGGGTAGAAGAAAAAGCCCCAAACAAACAGGGCTAAGGGCCACAGTATATCAATTTAATGCAATATTAAGAGTTATTAAAATGATAAATACGGGAAAAGCAGACATAAAAACTGTTGTCATAGCAATTTACAGGCATATTAAATATGTTACATTTAAAAAACATGTATACTCATGGATAGAGGTTATAAAGGGCTGTATAGAAAAGGTTGTAGTGAGATAAGCTGAAAGTTTTTTTATCGTTGTTGTTAGAGTGTAGTTGCGAAACATTTAAACAAAAGGAAGTTGAAGAGGCCGACATTCTTTTCCACACTGCTTGTAAGTATATGCGGGTCCATTCCAGCTATACCATGGTTACAGAACAACTGCTGACAATGATGGCTGATCCCGATCGCCCTCAATCAGGCAGGCAGCCCAGGCAGTTACCTACAGAAAGGCGCTTGCAGAGAACACTGGTTATTTGACAGCACAAGTGCATGGGAGCCAATGCTATCCCCAGACCTTGGTGTGAAGAAGGAAGATGTTCTAGTAGATGTTGCTTCACAAAGGCCTCTTCTGTTCCAGCTCCATGCAGGAGTTATGAATATGGGTTTTTTAATCACCCACGTGACTTAAATGCAACCTTTGCCACATTTTTTACTAAATGTTTACATTTTGGCAAGTTCCTTAACCTCTCTGTCTGTTTCCTTATCTGTAAAACGGGATGATAACCTCCGCTTGTGGGTGTCCTTGTTAAGATTACATGAGTTAATGCTTGGGAACATTAAGTATTGTGTCTGGCCCCTTAGGGTGCCCCCCAAGTGGCAGCAGTTACTGTTTTTATTAACAATCGTGATCATCTCTTCAGGAAGTGTTTCTGCACTGCCGGGTTCTTGTCTGTGGAGTGTTGGACGAGCGTTCCCGCTGTGCCCAGGGTTGCCACCGGCGAATGCGTCGCGGGGCAGGAGGAGAGGACTCAGCCGGTCTACAGAGCCAGACGCTAACAGGCGGCCCCATCCGTATTGACTGGGAGGACTAGTTCGCAGCCACAGCTCGAGTCCCTGTATTGGGTGGCTCTGCTCTTTGGAGCTTCTCCCCCCGGCCCTCTAAGAACATCCGCCAACACCTAGGCTCAGACTTCACACTGTGAGTTCAGACTCCCAGCACCAACTCACTCTGATTCTGGTCCATTCGGTCAACACAGGCCACAGCACTGCTGAACAACGTGGCCTGGGTGGGGTTTCATCTTTCTAGGGCTGAAAACTAAACTGTCCACCCAGAAAGACACTCACCCCATTTCTCTCATTTCCTTCCTACACTTAAATACCTCGTGTACGATGCAATCAGATCACAAAATCAGAAGCCGGGTATAATATTTCAAGTAATAAACCCTAGAAAAATTAAACAGTTACTGAAATTATGACTTAAATACCCAGTGACTCCTTAAATATGTAAATAATAGTTATACCTTGTAATTTCAATTCAAATACAGACTAATGATAGGGGAGTTGGAAGTTTATCAATAAAATAGTATATAATTTTAAAAGTAGTATTTGGTTTTTCTGTCTCATACTAATTTCTTTTTCTTTTTCTCTCTTTTTTTTTTTTTTTTTTTTTTTTGAGATAGAGTCTTGCTCTGTCACCCAGGTGAAGTGCAGAGGCGCAATCTCAGCTCACTGTAACCTTTGCCTCCAGGGTTCAAGCAATTCTCCCGCCTCAGTCTTTTGAGTGGCTGGGACTACAGGCATGCATGTACCACCACACCCAGCTAAATTTTGTGTTTTTAGTAGAGATGGGGTTTTTCCAGGTTGACCAGGCTGGCTCGAACTCTTGGTCTCAGGTGATCCACCCACTTCAGCCTCCCAAAGTGCTGGGATTACAGGCGTGAGCCACCGTGCCCGGCCATCTTTTGATATTTCTAATATATTGCCTTAAGTGAAATATTTTTACCTAATAAATATTAATAAATTCATCAACATGTATTTAAGTGCTTCAATGAGATGTAACAGAATTAAAGTTTGGTACCATATTCCCTGTTATTTGGTATTCTGTACCCTCAGGTTGATAAGATAATAGAAAAAAGTATACAATTCTGCCATACTCTGTTTTGTAGGTACTTAATAAGTTTTATTGAAATAAAGTTATAAACCACAAAAAATAAAAATATAAACCACAAAGATAAATTTTATCTGCAGTTAACTCCAATTTCTTTATATGCCAATTAATTTTATGGCCTTTACATAAGATCAGAAAAGTTTTTCTGCTTTTAGTTTTTAAAAGTTGCTGCAGTCTGGGCTCAGTGGCTCATGCCTGGAATCCCAGCACTTCAGAGGCCAACGTGGGAGATTTCCTTGAGCCCAGGAGCTCAAGACTAGCCTAGGCAACATAGTGAGACTTCGTCTCTACAAAAAAATTGTTTTAAATTCGCCTGGCATGGTGGTGTGCCACTGTGGTTCCAGCTACTTGGGGAGCTGAGGTAGGAGGATTGCTTGGGCTCAGGAGGTTGAGGCTGCAGTGAGCCATGGTAGTGCTCCAGCCTGGGTGACAGAGTGAGACCTTGTTCCAAAAAACCCCAAATCCCAACAAACAAACAAACAAACAAACAAACAAAATGCTACATTTAATAGTTCTTAGTAGAAAAGTAAAATTAACAAAAGTAAGGGCAAGGAGAAAAGGATTTAGATAGAAGTCAGCAACTTTTTCTGTAAAAAGCCAACCGGTAAATGTATTAGGCTTTCTGAGCCCTGCAGTCTTTGCCACAGCTACTCAACTCTGCTGTTGTAGTGCAAGGACAGCCACAGAGAATATGTGAACAAATGTGAGCATGGTTATTGCAAAAAAGGATTCAAAACCAGGCTTTGAGCCAGGTGTGGTGGCTCATGCCTGTAAACCCAGCACTTTGGGAGGCCGAGGCAGTCGGATTATTTGAGGTCAGGAGTTTGAGACCAGCCGGGCCAACATGGTGAAACCCCGTCTCTACTAAAAATACAAAAATTAGCCAGGCCTGGTGGCGGGCACCTGTAATCCCAGCTATTCAGGAGGCTGAGACAAGAGAATCGCTTGAACCCAGGAGGCGGAGGTTGCAGTGAGCCAAGATCTAGCCACTGCACTCCAGCCTGGGTGGCAGAGTGAGACTCCCTCTCAAACAAATAAACAAACAACAACAACAACAACAACAAAAACAGGTTTTGGGCTAGGCTTGGTCCACAGGACTTAGTGGGCCAATTTCTGCTGTAGATTAGTGGCCCCCAGCCCTTCTGTGCAGCAGAATCACCTGGAAAACATTTATAAAATACCAGTGTGTATTCTTTATTGGTTTGTTTTAAAGGATTCTCAGGTGATTCTAATCCATGGTTAGGGTTGTGACCCACAAGTTAGGGAATGGCCACTTGTCTCTCACTCCCGACAGGCTGCAGGGACTTTTCCTAGCCAGCTCCGTTAGTAACTCTTACCAAGTACATCTCAGATCTTAGCATGGCTCTAACGTCATTTAGTAACTGGGAATACCAGCAGGGTCAGGTCACCGAAGGGAAAAATGAATCCTCGGAGACCTAATTCCATCTGACCTTCTCCTCCATTGGCCTTAATCAGGTAAGCCTCTGAACCTGCCCACCTGTTTTCTCTTTTTAGCATCAGTGGGAATAACTGTGGTCATTGGTGGAACTTACCAGGTTGGGTTTTGGTCTCTTCTAAGTGAAATGGAAGCATATTGGTGATAATGGAATTCATTCATCTCTATCCAAATGTTCTAAAAAGTACACTTTATTAAATGTGAGATGCTTACTGGCAACTGAAACATGGGCCAGCAGAAAGTCATTGCCTCCCAAATGCCTGTACTCCCCACAATTTCATTCATGAAAATAATTGTCAGGTCCAGGAATTGCAGGGTTTTCTTGCATTTTAGTCTTTAAGCTAAGAACTGAATTTCCAGGCAACGTGTCTTGGCTGGGGAGAGCAGTCTTAAATGAAGAGTAGCCTTCAAACCACTCCATGTTTTTTTCAATTTTCCTCAAAAGATAGGACTCACTTTCCAGGTGTAGAAAAATGTTTCCTTTCTCCTGCTTTGTGGTGTCCAAACTGTTGGAAGAACGAATGAGTCACGCTGACTCGATTGACATCTCGAAGGCTGACAGCTGTGGTGTCACTCAAAACCAGGAAGGAATCACTTCTTCCTCATAACTCTTCCTTCTCCTCCTCTGCACAGATGCAAGCTGCCCGCTGACTATTCATAAAGGGGCGGCAGCCCAAAGTCCACACGGTGTTGAACACAGTGTCAACCAGGGAATCACAGGCTACTTGAAAAAGATGAAGAGGGACAGAAAGGTTAACACTGAGTAATTTTGAAGAGGAACTGTATTTCCAGAGATGACATGATACCCAGAGGAAAGTAGAGACAGTAATCCAAATACAGAATTCAAAAGAAGAGCATACATTCCAGAGAACATTCTCAGACAAGCTCCCACCCAATCCAGTAAAGCAGAAGACACCTGGAGGTGCCCTCGCATGTGGGCCCTTGGTCAAAACAATGGTGAGCGACCAGAACCTCCCACACCACCGTGCTCACTCCGTGGAGAATGTTTTTTCCAGAAGACTCCCTCTTTTATGTTTCCCATAGCTTTCCCATCTATGGACATACCACTCGGAACACACCCAACCTCGCCTAGAGTTTTCACTGTTCAGGTATTGGATGAACAACCATTCACTGATGGAAAAACATTTGCATGTGTTGGATATGTTCGTTAGCCACTGTCTTAGGAGCCAAGGATACAGAGACAAAAGGCATCATCCTCAACTTAAGGACTCCACAGTTTGGATAAAGAGGTGGACAGGTAAACAGATAGCTACACTACTTCGTGATGAAAATAACCCCAAGGTGGTATGGGAGCCCACAGAAAGGGTCTCTATCCCTTCGCAGCAAGGGTTATTAGGGGAGGTATCTTAGGGGAAGTAATATATCTAAGTTTAAACTTCAAGAATGGTCAGGAAAACGAAGTACTGATGCATACTAAAACATGGATGAATCTTGAAAACATTATGTTAAGCAAAAGAAGCCGGACACAAAAGGCCACATATTGTATGATTCCATTTATATGAAATTTTCAGAATAGGCAATCCATACGGAGAGTAAAACAGTGATTGTCTAGGGCTGGGGTGGGGTAGGGAAGGTAATGAGTAATGACTGTTAATGGCTACAGGGTTTCTTTTGGGACTAATGAAAATGTTCTAGAATTAGATTGTGGTGATGGTTGTACAATTCTGTGAATATACAAAAACCACTGAAGTGAAGGGTATATTTTATGGTATGTGAATGATATATCAAATTTTTTAAGTTGGTTCATTGAAAAGATAAAAAATGTTGACAAACTTTTAACTAGACTAACCAAGAAAAAAAGAGAGGATTCAAATTACCAAATTCAGGAATAAGAGAGAAATGTCACCAACAATCTTACAGAAATAAAAAGGATTAGGGCCAGGCACAGTAGCTCACGCCTGTAATCTCAGCACTTTGGGAGGCCGAAGCAGGCAGATCAGAGGCCAGGAGACCTCTTGGCTAACGACACCCTCTAGGCTAACACAGTGAAACCCTGTCTCTACGGAAAATACAAAAAA